GCTCCTAGTCCTGGGGAACACTGATGAGAAGAAGGCCGACAGAGAGAGAAAGACTTCCCCTGGAGCTGATGCCCTGAATTTGGACTTTTAGCCTATTTTACTGTGAGGAAATAAAATTCTCTTTGTTAAAGCCATCCACTTGTGGTATTTCTGTTGTAGCAGCACTAGATGACTAAGAAATTCCATCTTTAGTTAGATCATTCTTCTAACTTCTTAAAAGTCTTTGGTAAGGCTTAATTTAATTTATAGTATAGCTACGCTGATGAAGCAAGATTTGGTTCATATGTTGAGACCAATAAGGTATGAAAAGGTTCACTAGTCACACAAGGAAGCTTTCTGGGGAATGCATGGCAGGCCTCTCAAGCGGTTAAGAAATGGCTTGAGAGAGAAAGTAGATTGGCTTTGGGTTTTCATGGTGGTTAGTGGGTGAGGCTAGGGTGAAGACTCCTGTGCGTGTTTCAAATTTCCTGACGGTGCCAAAGGAGGACCTTTCTTGTCAGTTTGCCCAGTTGTGGGGCAGAACAGGAAGACTGAGGGTGAGGCTGAGAAGATGTCAGCAATCAAGCATCAAAAAATGGAGTCAGATTCTTTATTATATGATAACTCAATAGAACTAATAAAAAAATACAAACTACAAAGACATTAAGCAATATGTTTATACAACTTCATCAAATTTTATATATCATCATTTAAGCCACATACAATTAATTGACAAGCAAATACTGCATATAACATAAAAGGTGAAATCATTTTCTGTTAAAAACAAGAAACGAAATCTTAAATGTTCTTCAAAAAAGGTTTAGGAAAAAAATAAACAGTATCACTGATACAACAATCAAATTTTTGGAAATTAGTCTAGGCCTTCACATTTAATTTCCTTTCATTAAAGATATTAGAATAACTGATGGCCCCTGCTTTTACTATTTGTTGTATTAGAAGAAAATAACATAGACTTTATTCACTATCAAGAACATAAATTCTTTGAGATTATTACTAGAGTACCACTCTGTATGCTGAAATGCAAGTGAAGCATAAATGAAATCCAAAAGTTTTAAAATAATTTTTTAGTACCTAAAGTCCACCTCAGCACTAATTCTGTAGAGTTACCACTAAAAGGTCTCCTGATGGCCTGAAGTAGTCCTTGTTATTATCCAAGCACCTAAAATACTACCAGAATGAAACTTAGGTTCTGGAGAGAATCAGGCTTAATATTTATAATAAAGATTAATGAAAAAAAAATATCAAATTCTATCAAGATTAATAATAAAGGTTCTACTTGAATATGGATTGCAAAATCAAAACCAAAATAAACAATTAGCTAATGCCACAAATAAAAATAAAAGTAGATAACATAGGTTCAATTTCTGTAAATATTTAATACAATCAGATAATGCAACTATGATAACCTATTATTGATTTAATTGCCTTCATGTTTTAAGTAATAATGTAAATTTATGCCCTAAATAATTGACAAACAGTAAAATAATTCAAGAAATTAGTAACTAGTTCAAAAAAAAGTAAATTGTGTTGTAGTTTGTGAGGAAGATGGAAAACCTTTTAAAGAAGAGTGTGTGACATTTTGATCCTGTTCAAATGAAAATGGAAAACTAAAATCATCTTTTCCAGCTACAAATGTATGTGTTGAAGAGTCTGATGGAAAAGAAAATGTAAAAGCATCTTCTCCTTCTGATTTCCCAAATAAGTTTCCTGAGGAAGATAAATATTACAATATCATGTTATTCATGTTATATAATGTTTGCATAACCTACTGAATTACAGTATACCACATACAATATATAAAGTAACATTGAATTCTTTATCTACTAAGCAGATATTTAACTGTATTCCTCTTATGTGCAAGGTACTGTCCTTGGAACTATGTAAGGTTAAAACAGACTAAAACTTAAACCCTACTTTCAAGTAATTTGAATTCAAGAATATAAAGAACTAGTACACAAGGTAGAAAGTGGGGTAAAACACCTCATATGGAAAGAATAGCATAGAGGCACAGAAAGAGGCATGCATAGGAAGTATAAGGGTGACAGAAATCAATTCAGGTTGGCAGGAGCACTGAAAAATAATAAAGAGGTGTAAAAGGGAATTACTAAAGATGAGCTTCAAAAGATTGCTGAATGCCCAACTATAGAATCTAGACTTTATTTGGTAGGTAACAGTAAGCCATTAAAGGTTTTCAAGCTGAGACATGGCATGATTTGAACTGTGCTTTGTAAGGATTACTCAGAAAAGAATGTGTAGAAAGGCTGGAACAGGAGTGTCTAGAAATGGGGATAACAGAAAGGAAGAAGTATCTATTGTCCAAGAAAGAGGTAATAAAAGCCTGACCTTAGCAATGGGAATGAAGGAAAATGCTGGATCTGAAAGATACTGCATAAGTCATACTTATTCAACTATTATTTATTAACTACAATACACTATTCATGGCATTGTTCAAGGAAATTGACAGAGCAGTGCAAAGAGTTCTATAGTTTTAAAAGGAATTTTTAAAGTAAACTTTACATATAGAATTATTTGATTGATGACTCTCTGAATTGCCATCAAGGAAAAATATTGTTTTTCATTTATTATATTATTTAAACCTATAAATATAAAAAATATTTTCAACATCTTAATTATAATATAAAATCAATTATTAAGTAATTAAAAATATACAGTAATCTAAACCCTTACCTGAAACAAATCTTTTAAGGTGCTTACATTTTTTTCAATAGAGAACCAATTCAAACAGTACATTAAACAAAAGAATTTACTTGTGCCATTTTGAAATTTTCATATATTTTTAATAAAACATCTTGATTATTTCACTCTAAATGGAGCCGAGCCAACCAACAGTAGGCTGGATAGAAGAACAGACAGAAGGATGGATGAACTGATTACCAAATACTTGAGTTCTTCTTCTCTCCCTTTTTCACTTTATTTTTCCACTGACTTCACTACACACTCATTAGACTTAAGCAAGGAAAATAGCTATAATGTATACATAGATTCAGAAAGAACCAAAATCTTGAATCTCCCTTTGAATGAATAAATTTGAATTTTTTAAATTTTAGAATAAAAAAGGTTCATATAAGGTCATCATAAAACTCCTATGCTCACTGTAAATAAAATAATAGAATATTGTGTTAGGTGGCATTCTAGGTGCTCTGGGAAATTCAACGGTGAATAAAACAGAATCCCTGCCCTCAAAGGGCCTATGATCTACACTAGATTTTATATATATTCATAAATAACTATGCCAGAAGGTATAAAGTAAAACAGTACTAAAAAAAAGAATAGAGATTCAGAAACACAAGGAAAAGATCTTTCTGGAATGGAAGAGTGAGAGAGGAAATAAGCAAAGGTTTTATGGAAGAGAATTTGGTCTGGAAAGATAGACAGAGGTGGAGGTTGAGGATTTCAAGAAGAAAAAAGTGGATGAGAAAGTGTGGACATATTTGAGAGGCACTGAGTTTTCCAATCTGGCCAAAGCACAGGTTATGTAAATAAGAATAAGATAAGAGGCTTAAAATTATGTTAGAGCTAGGCTAGAAAAGTAGGGGCATAATTGATAGTCAATGGGGAGCCACTGAATGTATTTGACTAGAACAGTAACATGGTCAGTGTTTTGCATAAAGATTAATTAGGTAAGGTAATCTACAGGTAAACTGAAAGGATGAAAAGACCGGTTAAGATGTTACTGCAATGGCCAGAGTGAATGGTAGTAAAAGTTTGAAATATGCTGGTGTCCATGGAAATTGAAAAGAAAGAGAAATAAACGTTTTAGAAACAGAACCGATAAAACTTGATGACTAGCTGAATGTTGTCACAGGCAAAGAGAAGTTAAAATTATCACCGAGATTCTGAATCCTGGCATTTAGAATAATGGAGGTATCGTTAGGGGCCTCAGAAGGAGAACAAGTTTGATTTCAAATATGCTGAGTCTTTAATAGCTACAAAAGTCTTGGATATAAAGAGATTTGGATTATAAAATCAGAAATTAGTCCTTAGAGTTTAGGAGAAAAGTGGAGTTTAGAAGTAAAGTTGGTGGGGAAGACATGAATTTGGTCATTACTTTTACTATAATATTTGAAAGCACTGAAGTGAATGAGCGTCAAGTGAATGAGAGCATCAAAAAAGAGAACGTAAATAAATTTAAAATTTTTATATGGCAGACATTTAAAAAATATCTACGATTAGTAGATTCCTTCTGATCTCCTAGCATTAAATATTATCTATGATAAATCCAAAATTTATGTGTCCACTCCACTGAATTACAGATTCATATATCCAACCTCCTACTTTACTATCTAGTAATTAAAGCAGTTCCAAAACTAAACTCCCAATTCCTGCCAATCTCAAATCAACTTCTATAGCCTTCCATATTTCAGTAAATGGCAATTCCAGTCTTATAACAGTCATTCATGTCAAAACCTTGACATCATCCTTACTTTCTTTCTCTCAATCTTCACATCCAGTCCATAAGCAAATCCTTCCAAATACACCTTTAGAAAACTCTGTAACCCAAATCTGACACCTTCTTACCACCTACTGCCATTGTCCTAGCCACCATCAATTCTGACTTGTATTGTTTTAATAGCACCTGATCGAACTCCTTGCTTTCACCCTTGCTTCCATATACTGTGTTCTTCATATAGCAGCTAGAATAATTCTTTTAAAACCTGTCAAATAATTTGAGTCCTTTGCTCAAAACCCTCCCATCTTGGTTTCCCATCTCACTTAGAAAAAAAAATAAAGTCTTTTATGGTTCTACAAGGCCCGAAAGATATGCTCCCCTTCCATCCTCTGATTTGATCTCCTACCAGTTTTCTCCTTCCTTATTCCATTCCAAATATACCAATTTAGTGCTGTTCAATGAACATGTTGCACATGTTTCTCTCTCAAGGTCTTTGTGCCCTTTGCCTCAAACACTTCTCCCCATAGCTTGTACCCACACATCCTTCAGGTCTCTGCTCAAATGTTGCCTTTTAGTGATACTTTCCCTGATTTCCTTGTTTTACACAGCAACCACTTTCCAAACCAAGAACTCTCTATTCTCCTTACTCTACTCTTCTTCATAGTACTATCACCACCTGTGAGTAAAGAGTTAACACAACTCTGGGTTGATCCAGGCCTGCCTGGAAGAATGACCTTGGAGTCTGACTTCTCACAGTATTGTTTTCTTAGAAAATATAGACTTTAAGTGTGGAGTGTTATGTCTTCCTTGTCTACTGTATGGAACTACACATGAATTGGAGGAATTGTGAGTTAGCATATAGGCCTTGGGCTTCATGATTAGATGGTAAAAAAGACCAGTGGGAAACTGAGACTGCAGATTTTCTGTGTCAGGGTGACCTACATGTACCATGCCTCTTGTCCATTGCAGCCTTACATGCCCTATGTGAGGCAGCAAAAGAAAGCTTATACTAGGGTAGCTGATAGGCCTCTTGATGAGATAAAGATGCTGTGCCTGCTGTTATCTTCTATGCTGTATCTTCTATGTTGTTGCTGTTGTTAGGTGCCGTTCAGTCAGTTTTGACTCATAGTAGCCCTATAGGAGAGAGTAAAATTGCCCCATAGGGTTTCCAAGGAGCAGCTGGTGTTTGAACTACCGACATTTCGGTCAGCAGCCGAGCTCTTAACCACTATGCCACCAGGGCTCCATATCTTCTATAAAGCTAAGTAAATTTATTATTAGATTAAAAGTTTACTGTAACTTTTGAGTCTGACTGCCAATTCAAACCCATAACAACTATTCTTTAATGTACTACCTGACATATTATACATTCATTTGTCTATTTTCAGTCTCTCCCACTAGAACAGAAACCCTATAAGAACTTTGTATTCTTGTCCACTGCTCAATCCCCAGAGCCAAAAGGAGATGGAAGAAGAAAGAAGATCCAGTAAAAAGTAAGCACCAGAGGAGGAAATCCAAAATTCCAGAAAGATGGCAATAGTCAACTCTATCAAGTGCTGCAAAAAAGACTGAATAAATGCAAAAAAACCATAATGTTTGATAATTGGAAAGTCATTAGCAGTCATGGAGATAGCAAGCTTTGATAGAGATAGCAGAAGCTAAGTTACTAAAAGATCATCAGTAAGTAGTGCAAAACTAACACTAATTTTTCAGGATAAATTGAGCACCTAAGAAAATCAGTTAGAGACAAACTAAATACTAAGTGAGCAAGTTAACATGTTTTATATGTAGAAAACTTAAATCACTTACCAATTTCTTGTTGTGATGAGAGAGGATTTAAATTTGCTGTAGAATAATGTTCATTAAACTGAAAAATAATTTCCATTAAATATTACTTGTGAAATCAGTAGAACAGTATACATAGCATTTATAGTTGAATCTATGTAACAATGTAAAACAAGTTTTGCCTGATATACCTTTCATATAAAGCCTAGTCTTCTACTAATCAGAATTACAGCAGACAAAATAGTAACTTTCTATATAGCATATTACTGTGCTTAAAAAGAAATATATCTTCAAAACAACCTGTCATTTATTTATAAAATAAGGCCTATTAACTTGATTCTGGCAATAGATAAAATATTAATAGGCAACATACATTGTACTAAGGATTGTTCCTACTTTAGAATACTAATATGGCCTAATATTCTAGTCAACTTTTGCTTCATTATGAAGGCCTTTATCAAATTAGGTTCTTGGTACTGTTTTTCTGTCTATAAAACTAATAGGAAGTATGATAGCTTCATGTCAGTTCAGGTCAAATTTGCTAATAAAAGTACCTTCTCTGCAAGACAGGCTTTTAAAAAATGGGACCATGTTTTATATGGGACAGTTTTCTGTCCTTTTTTTTTCTCTTAATATTATAGTGTGAGCATTTTTCCATGTTGCTATTTTTCAGACATGATTTTCTATGGCAATATAATATTCCACCATATGAACAGACTGTACAGTTTTCGAAGAGCCCTGGGTGGGCCAGTGGTGTAGCGCTCAGCTGCTAACCAAAAGGTCAGCAGTTTGAACCCACCAGCTGCTCCATGGGAGACAGATGTGGCAGTCTGCATCCATAAAGGTTACAGCCTTGGAAACCCTACGGGGCAGTTCTACTCTGTCCTGTACGGTTGCTCTGAGTCGAAATCAACTCGAAGGCAATGGGTATACAATTTTCAACCATTCCTTTATTTTGGACTTTTAGGTTGCTTCTAATTTTTTTTCTAACATAAATCACACTTGAATAAACATTGTTATGCACATATTTATATATCTTTGACAATCAGTAAGAAAAGCTGTTTTTTCCAGAGATTTCCTAAGTTGCCTGAATTCTTTTTCAGTGACTTATTTACTCATCAAGTAGACCTTGTCTATTTCTCCATTGAAGCAGTCTTTTTTTTTATTACTGGTACATATAAGCTCTTTATATATTAAAAATATTATCATATTATTACAAATATTTTATATCATTTTATCAATTTGCCTTTAATTTTTTTTAACATATAGAAGTTTAAATTTTTGTATGTAACCAAATCCCAATTTTTTTTCTTTTGGTTCTTCTTCCACTGTTTTTATGCTTAGAGAATTCTTCCTCCTCTTAAGATCTGAAAAATATTCACCTATATTGCCTCTGAAATATTTTATCTTTACCTTTTTTTAACTGAATGGATCTGTAACTTCTATTGGTATACAGTGTTAGATGAGTGCCTAACTTATCCCTACTAATTTTTGGTCCCATCTTCACCACTTTCTTTTGTTTCAAGACTTTCTAGAAACAACCACTGTTCAATCTATCAATTCTTATATCACTATCACACCATCTTGCTCACTCTATGTTTACAGGACATTTTAATATGTAGAAAGTGAAGTTCCCCCTCATCAACCTTCTTTTTCATAATATTCTATTATTAATGTTCACAAGATCTATAGTGATATCCTTTCATTCCTAATATTGATAGGCTGTACTCTTTTTCTTTGTCAATCTAGCTAGGCATTTATAATTTTGTCATTTTTTTCAAAGAACCAACTTTGACTTTGTTAATTTTCTCTATTGTTTGTTTTCTATTTCACTGATTTCTGTTTTTGTATTCCTTTAGTTTCTTCATTCTACTTACTTTGGATCTACTTTTCTGTTCTTTTTCTAGCTTCTTAAGGTAAAACCTTAAATCGCTAATTTTAGAATGTGTTTTCTATTAATTAAAGTTTTGAAGCTATACATTTGGCTCTGGCTTTGGCTGCATCCTACAATTTTTAACATGCTGAATTTTGATAATCATACAGTTCAAAGTATTTTCTAATTTCTCTTGTGATTTTCATGGCACAAGTATTTAGGGTTGTTAATGAAGCAGGACTCAATCTACAAGATTGGATTGTGTCTTGAGCCAATCCCTTTCGAGAGAGAAAAGAGAGAAGTGAGCAGAGAGACAGGGGAACCTCATACCACCAAGAAAGCAGCGATGGGAGCAGAGTGTATCCTTTGGACCTGAGGTTCCTGCACTTAGAAGCCGCTAGACCAGGGGAAGATTGATGACAAGGACTTTCCCCCAGAGCCCACAGAGACAGAAAGCCCTCTCTTGGAGCTGGCACCTTGAATTTGGACTTTTAGCCTCCTACACTGAGAGAATAAATTTCTCTTTGTTAAAGCCATCTACTTGTGGTATTTCTGTTATAGCAGCACTAGTTAACTAAGACAAGGGTTTTCCTAGATGTCTTCTAATTTCTAATTTAATTTCATCATGGTCAGAGAACATACTCTGTATGATTTCAATCGTTTTTTATTAAGTCTCATTTTATGGCCCAGAATATGGTCTATCTTGGTGAATACCATGGACACTTGAAAAGAATATATATGCTACAGTTTTTTAATGTGGTGTTCTATAAATGTCAATTAAGTAAAGGAGATTGATATTGTTCATATCTTATAGAAGATCTTTATTGATTTTGTTGTCCAATTTATATCAGTTGCTGAGACGGGTGTTAAAAATCTACAACTATGTTTGTGTTTTGTATTAAAAAAACCCATTGCCGTTGAGTCAATTCCAACTCTTAGTGACCCTATAGGACAGAGTAGAACTGCCCCATAGAGTTTCCAAGGAGCACCTAGAGGATTTGAACAGCTGACCTTCTGGTTAGCAGCTGTAGCACTTAATCACTACGCCACCAGGGCTTCCTGTGTTTTGCATACTCCCTTTAATTATATCAATCTTTGTTTTATGTATTTTGAAGCTGTTATTAGGCGTGTATACACGTGTGGTTATTTCTTGCTAGTGAATTGACCCTTTTATCCTTATGAAATGTACCTTGTTATTGCTAGTAATATTCTTTATTTTTAAGAGTACCTAACATGATATTAACATAGCCATTGAAACCTTCTTACGCTTAATGTTTTCATGACATATCTTTTTCCATACATTTACTTTCAACCTGTCTTTGTCCTTATATTTAAAATGTATCTTTTGTAGATAGCTTATAGTTGGATCTTGCTTGTTTATCCATTCTGACAATCCTTAATGGAGTGTTTAGTCCATTGATGGTTAATGTAATTATTAAAAAGTTCTTATTTTGTTCTACCATTTTACTATTTTCTGTTCTCTTTGTGCTTTGTAACTCTATTCCTCTTTTTCTGCCTTCTTTTGGGTTAATTAAAATTTTTTTTTTAGAATTCCATTTTAATTTATTAACAATCTTCTTTTTGAAAATTTTCTTGCTTATTCTTGACTATTTTTGACCACTTTTTTTCCTAGAAAACTTAAAATTATTTTGTCAGTCTCCTACCCCGATCCCACCACCACAAAAGCAAAACAAAAACAAAAAAAATCAAAGACATACAATCTTGCTGGGATTTCAATTAGATTCAAAATTAAATTAAATCCATAAATTATTTTGTAAAGAAATCATCTTCATAATATTTTCTTCCTATACAGGTACTTCATATATCTTTCTATGTATTCAAAACATTTTTTTCAGTAAAGTTCTTGTAGTTTTCATTACACAAAATGTACATGTTTCTTGTTAAGGTTATATACATGTATTTTGCATTCATGCAACTACTGTAAATGAAAACTAAGCAACTGTAGTAGATAATTATTTTACATGTTCAGTAAATCCCTTCTAAGAATTGCCAGTTTTTATAATAAACATTTAAATAAACACTGAGACAAAAGTTGAAGATATGAAATATATAGTGCTATATCATCCATCAATAAATTCCAATTTTCAATTATTTAATTTAGTATAGGGGGATGTGAGAATAAAATATTCAAATCCATATAAAATTGGCTAAATGTGACTAATTTAAATGAGAAATAACAAAATATTTCTATTAAATTATATTATATTGTATTATATTAATACTTATATAGCATTATTAACTGGTTGCTACTTTTCTACATGCTTCATGTATATAAACTCATTTAACATTCACAAACTATATGGCAATAACTATTATTATTTTCATTTTACAGATAAAGAAACTGAAGCCCAGAGAGTTATCCAGAATTCCACATCCAGTACACACCCAAGTAGTGTAGCTTCACAGTCTACTCATAACCACTACACTGTACTGTCCACTGATAAAATAAAGCACACCTTAACTTTTGGTTTTAATTGGCAAATACAGAAATAAGCACTTAATCATGATTTATATCACTGAAGAATAAAATCTATATTAGAAGGAAGTTCTTTAGGTCTTTTATAATTAACTGATTATAATGTTGCTATGTATACACATGCAGCTTGTGTATACACACAAGACCAAGTTATAAGGTGGAACATTTTTCATGTTGAAGTTATGAAGTTTGTTTTAAAAGTTAGACATATTAACTATAAAGCCAAATTCATTTTTAAACAGCCTTTCACTGCAACTTAAATCATTCTCTCCTCAAGATTCTGTTTTTGGGAATAGATGTCAATTTGGGGTACCTGAAGTTGGAAACAAAAAGATAGTGCAGAGCTTTGATATACTATCATTACTCTGATTTTTTTTTTTTAATTGACTCTGTTTTGTCCTCTGCCCCAAAAGTTTGGTACTAAGGAACTAAAATTATTTGAGGTTCCAGTGTACAATTTTTAGAAATAAAAATTTAGTTTCACAATATTACCTGATCTGATGAGATTTCTGAATCAAATATAGAAGAATCAAATAAATTCAACCCAGGAGATCTAGAAGTATAACTCGAAAGAAAAGAAAATCCAGGGGATTCCTTTTGTGTTTGACCTTCAGGTACTATATTTCTATTTCTGTTACAGAGAAATAAGAAATCATCAGAATGTTTTTTAAAAATCTATTAGTAAACATTGCAGACTGGTGAGCACCATAAGCAATAGCATAGAGGTAAGAATTAGCATAGTAGGGAAAAGTAGAAAGTAAAGTTATTGAAGAATATGGTTTTAGGTGGATAATAATGTTAAATAAAGTAGAACAATCAAGTTGGGGATAATAATAGTTGATACCCACTGATAATGTACTGTTAGTCTCTATCCTAGTTACTTCCATAGGCATTAACTTATTTATTTCTCACAATAACCCCATGAAGTAGATACTATTATTATCACTTTCATTTTACAGAAGAGGATTTTGAAGCATAAAAAGGCTAAATGATCTTCTCAAAGATATATAACTGCCAGAACTGGGATTTGAATGGAGCAATCCAGATTCAAAGTCCAAGCTGTTAACTCCAATGCTATACTGTCTCCAAGCTCTTGAAAAAGATTTTAGTCTTGATGAGAAGCCAGCCATTACAGATTGTTGCATAAGGGAGTTAAACTATAAAAGTAAAGATTTGGGGAAAATAATTAGACAAAGTAGTATATGACACAATGGTTAAAAGCATGGATTCTGGAGCCCTACTACCCGAGCTTGAATCTCAACTTTATTATCATTGACTAGCTCTACCACCTATAATTCTGTTTCCTCATCTATAAAATAAGGATGATAGTGTACTTATACCTCATAAGGTTGCTGTGAATATTAAATAAGCATTATTTATAAAATGCTTACAACAGTGACTTGCACACAGTTGGTGCTATATAAGTGTTTGCTAAATAAAACTGAACATACCACCAGAAATAGATGTATGACCATGAATGAGTCACTTAATTTTACAGGTCATAGTTTTCTCATTCATAAAGAGAGGTTTTAGCATATGATCACCCCAATTCTTTTTCAGATTCTCAGATTTGATGAGTTCCACTTTGAACATTTTGTGCTTGAGTCGACAGCATGACATTCATATCTAAAAATCTCACTAGCAATTTAAAATACAAAAGTAGAACACAGATGAGAGATACCTGATGATGTAAATTTAGAGGAACCTCAGAGTTCAGCATTAAGAAAAGGACTGAACTAAACAAAAAGGTTAAATGCAGCACTATTTTCTTGGCTGCGGATTACAAATCTGTGGTTTCCAGATTTAATAATTAATCATTTGGAGATATTATGTATATTCTGAAATTTAACAGAACAGCAATTCTTGCTTCAGATACATATGGAAAAATGACTTATGGAACATCATGCATTGATAAATCCACAATCTACCATCTGTGGCAGTAGCTTTTTAGCTTAACATTTTAAATTTTCCTGTAATTTTTTTTTATCTTTTAGAAAATATTAAATCCATATACTATTGCCCTAGGTAAGTACTCAGGATCTATGCCATCTTCAGCTAAATGTTACAGGAAAATTGGAGGGGAGGATCTGTCAAACAAGAACAGCAGAACATTAATTGTTCAAATAGGGTGCTGGATACGTGGAGGTTCATTATAATAGTCTTTCCTTTCTATGTTTGAAATTTTTCATAATAAAACTTTTTAAAGTTACAGGTAGTAAAGCATTTTACTACTTCTATCAATTATTTATTTAACCCCATATGTAGATATTTTAATTATAAGTATTAATTACAATCCTACATTTCAAATAAGGGTGTTTTAGGGAACTGCAATTTTTCCAAAGATTCAGGTGTTTTCACAGCTTCAGGAGTTCGTAAAGACAGAGGAATTTCAGGAGTTTTTGGAAAATTCTCAGTCTTTTCTTCCACTTCATTACTTTTATTTTCTATTGGCTTCCCAAAGTGTTCTGAATCTGTAGCCTGCAAATTCAAAATAATAGAAAACTATAAAAATGAATAAATAAAATAAATAAAATCACATATCTAAAAATGTGTAAGGTGGAAAACACCATATTAATCTATGATGTTATTATTATTTAATAGACAAAATAAGTAAAATAAGAATAATTGGTGAAAATAATACCAAAATATATATCAAGAAATTTAAAAATAATTATTTTTCATTATCTAATTTTTCTCCTCTTCCCAGTTCCATCTCCCCCATTTCGACCTAAAAAAGTAAATGACAATCAGAACATACTCAAAATTGATGAAGAAAAATGATTAGGAATTATTTTTTTCTTTTAAATTTTCCACTTCATGCTCTGGGTGAAGAACTGAATATGCTACCTCCTTAAAAGGGAAAAGCAATTTACTTCAAAACAATCTTGCAGTCTTTGGTTTATTGTGTTTTTTGCTTTTTTCTTTTGCCCTTATTAACTCATTATACTACTTTGGCTGTAAAAATTGAGAACCTGAATACTAAGTTTACTATATTTCATTTTCCAGGCTAGGAATGTGATTCAAATATATCTGTTATACCAAATCCCATTACAGAAACAATTTGGGTCCTCCCACCAAAAAATTTAAAATGTGCTTTTACTTGTATTTCTTTACAGCAAAATACTATTGTTTCTTTTGTTTTAATCCTTAGTCACTAGGGTAATATAAACTATAACTATATTCTGTTAGTCACTACTTGACACACATTGTCTATATTTATCATTATTAAAGCTTTCTACTATCATAAAATATTTTCAAGATTTTTTTTTTATTGTGCTTTAGGTGAAATTTTACAGCTCAAGTTAATTTCTCATACAAAAATTTATACACATATTGTTATATGACATTAGTTGCAATCCCTATAATGTGACAGCACACTCCCCCTTTCCACAGTGGGTTTCTTGTGTCCATTCAACCATTCCTGCCCCTTTCTGCCTTCTCATCCTGCCTCCGGACAGGAGCCACCCATTTGGTCTTGAGTATCTGCTTGAACTAAGAAGCACACTCTTCATGAGTATTATTATTTTGTGTTTTACATTCCAGTCTAATCTTTGTCTGAAGAGTGGGTTTTGGGAATGGTTTTTGTTCTGGGTCAAGATATTTTTGTGGCAATCACCGATCTTGAATTGCCATGGAAAACTGTTCAATCTCACCAAACTGTTTTATTCAGTCATAATTTAGTTGTAATCTCAATATATATTGTTATTTAATGACAATTCTTTTTGTATATTTTCATGTAAATTTTTTGTGGCTTCATTTTGTTATCTAAATAACTAAAGTGTTCTAAGAGATAGATTCTCTAACACCCTAGGAACCTGATAATCAAGAATAACTTCTAGATCTTCCATGATCTTTATTGTATTAAATCTGAAATGTTGATGGAAACAGAATGTCTTAAATTGGAAATATCATGCTTAGAAATTAGAAACCAAACATTTGACTTACTTTTGAAGTACATTTTGACTCTTTTAATTGTCTTATTATCGCTTTATCTCCACATTCAGCATCTGTTTGTTGAGAAAAAGCTTTTTGTTCTTTTTGACATTTTATTGTAAAATAACACATTACTGAACCATATAAAACTACCAATATTTTACTTTTTTTAACCTACAAAAGTAGCAATTTCATATGCTTCAGCCCAATATATACAGATAAGAGAATAACGTACATATATATAAAATCTATAACATGGGTGTTATTTACGTAAAAATACAATATTGTCAGACTTTTTAAAATGTTGCTAATCTGGTAGGTGTGTAATGATATCTCATTGTGGTTTTATTTGTAGTGGCTGCCAGATATATGCATTTCCCTACATAGCTCTATCACAGATGTATCGTTCTCTCTCATCTAATAATCCATCAGCTAAAGGATTAAAGGCAACAGAGCACCTGTGCAGGTAAAGACCCAATTCTTTCTCTTAAAAGAAAGCAGGGGCAATATCCACATACATGGAATAAGAATACTGTGCAGAGTAAACCCTGTACTAAAAGTGGCAGAAATAGGCCCACAGTATATGACCATTCTGAATATGCATATATTTATAGAGTTTTCATACTGCCAGAATGAGGCATTTTTAAAACTTCACAATAGAAGTCACTAATCCATATACTACAAATGAGAAGAGATGAAGACTTATATATAGCCTAATGAGTGAAATAATTATTATTCATTACTGGGTTACCAAAGTACGAACATGTACATATATGATATATATATGTGTGTGTGTATATACATGTATATAAGTGTATGTATAGACAGACAGATAGATAGAAAGAAGGATATAGTATTTTCAAGGGTGTGTCAAAGTTCCAATAGCTAGTTGATTTTAGGGTAATAAACTTGTGTGTTTATATCCTGTGAATCTTCTTTAATTTTATTCAAAGAAAATAAGATAGTAAAAGATTTATGTAAAAAATTATGATAGCATTATTTATAGTAACAAAAAAAAAAAAACCCTGGAAATGACAAAATAGTCAATGTGAGAGAATGGCAAAATATATAATGGCATAGTTACACAATGGAACATTATACACCTTCTCCTCACTTATCGACTATCTTATTATCTGACATTTCGCATTTACAATAGTAAAAAATCTACTATCCAACTATTTTGCACATTAACTACGTACATCTGGCAGTAACGAATGCTGAGGTGTGAGGTGAGAGTAACGCTGGCTTTGATGGTTAAGGTTATGTGTCAGCTTGGCTGGGCCATGATTCTCAGGGGTTTCGCAGTTATATAATGATTAATTTGGCAGTTACGTAATGATGTAAACTGGAGGTTATGTAATGATGTAGTTGTCCTCCATTTTGTGATTTGATATGGCCATCCTCCATTTTTGTATATGACCAGTTTCGCATAACGACCTGGTCTTTGGAACCTAACCACGTCAATAACTGAGGAGAGGGTGTACGGTTCATTATACATAAAATCTTTGAATAATATTTAATGACATGGGGACATACTTTCAATAGTATAACAAGTGGGAAAAAATCAGGATACAAAATGATATGTTTAGTATGACTTCAATTTTGGAAAAAGAACAAAATGTACATATGTATAGAAAAAGACTAAAAGAATATACAGCAATAGTTAAGAACAGTTAAATCTGGGTGATGGTATTTTTGTTTCCTTTATATTTTTCTGTCTAGTAAATTTTCTACAAGTATTTTTTCTTATATTTAGAGAAAATGTATTTTAAAACCAAGCATGCATGGTCAGTTAAACAACCCAAGTAATTTATTTAAATAGTATAAAAACCTGATACAATGGTTACCTCCACTTTTTAGGAAAAATACGAACAGCAAATACCTGTATCTCCTTTTTCAAACCACTGATTACAATTTGATTGTTTCTGTGGGGTTAACAATCTAAAACGCAATAAATATAATTTTTATATTATTTGTTGAGTTGATATTCATGAATTATTTTGAAAACTTAAAGCATTTTCTTGTTTTTAAGTTACCTGAATTGCATGAAATTCTGTGAACTTTTCGTAGCTAGAACATGTGAACACTTTGAATGGTTATTCACAGCACAGTCACTAAATACCTGAACCAAAAAAAATAAGCATTAGAATTAGCTATACAAAACAAAAGTTTAGCTTGCTGTGGCTTCTCAGTGTTCTCTCATTTCATTACCACTGTCATTCTCGTCATCATCATCAATATCAACAACTACAAACATTAACTGAAACCACTGCATATAAAACATTAAGTCAAATACTGGAAAACAAATAAGGTTTAAGACTCTCACAGAATTTGGCATTTTTGATAAGTATAAACAATTATGCATGGTAGTATTTCTACACTTAAGGTAAACTTTAAAAAATTCTGTCCCATATTCTTGATTAATCAAGTGAATCTTACCATTTTCTCAACTTATTACCCGATTTCTGCATCTCTCTATCCTCTATAACCTCTTAAATTGAACATAGGAAAGCAAAACAATGGGTTAAAAGATTAAAGCTTGACACTTTCATTCATATACATTTATGAAAGCACTAACATTTTTCTTTAAATTTTGTTTAATATTAATATCTAAGCCACTGCTATATTAATGTATGCACTGTCTGATTCACCTTTCATCCTCCCTGATTCATTTATTTTGAAGGGTCTCTGATTTTTGTTATTTGGCCCAAAATGAAAATCTTTTTACTTTAATAGGAAATTTAACCCATTTATTTAGATCATAAGACAAAGTTGTCAACCTCCCTTAAAGAACAAGTGTTTTTACTGTTTTGAACAATATACATGTTTGTACATGTCTGCTGGTACACATATTCAAGTATTTGTTTAGAGTAGATGCCAAGAAGTGAACTTTTTAGTTATGCACATTTATTTTTAATACGTACTATGATCCAGCCCTCCAAAGTGGCTGTATCAAGTTACACTCCCACTATTCTTGACCACACTAGATGTTATCAAACATTTTAATGTTTGCAAATCTGATAGGTGAAACCAGGTAGCAGGTTGATTGAATCTGCATTTCCCTGTACTCTTGGGGTTGGGCATCTTGTTATACATAGTGACCCTTTGCCTTTTCTTTTCTGTAAATTGCCTTCTTAGCCTTTGCACATTTTTTGTTTGCTTCTTTCTTAATTTATAAGAATTATTATGTATCTCTCTATGTACTGTATATTCTAGACACCAATTTTTGCCCATTCTGTCATTTTTTTTAACCTTGTTAGTGTCTTTTGTTAGTGTCATACAGAAGTTTTTAATTTTGATGTAATACATTGATCAGTTTATCTTCTCCTATACCATAGTTATAATTATTGTGTTTTGATAATGTTTAAAAATGATTTGGGTGATGACAATGCTGTGGAATTAGACAGTGGTGATGATTGCACAACCTTGTGAATATATAAAAACCACTGAATTGTAGACTTTACAATGGTGAATTTTATAGTCTGCGAATTATACCTCAATAAAAAAAATTAAATAAGCATTTTGATATCTGGTAGTACAAGCCCCCCTCTTTAACATTCTTTTAAAAATCTGTTGTTTTTAATTTTCTAATGCTGGACAATTGCTGTATTCCTTTGGAAAATCATAGTTGGTCATGCTATGATATTCTTTTAATGTTACACTGCTAAATTTGGTTTGTTAATAATTTATTATTTTTACATCTATGTTCATTGTTGATACTGACCTATACTTTTCTTCTCTTTCGCTATCCTTGACCTTGATATCATAAGATTCCCCTGACCCTGTGGCCATTGAGTTGATTCCGACTCATGGCGACCATAATTTGTTGGATAGTTTCTCAACTTTTTCCATACAGGTAGTTCCTGATTTACAACATATTTGGGTTACGATGAACTGCACTTATGACCATCCATTTTGTTTGGGGGGAGTACATCTTATCATTAGTAATATGTACTACATACACTGTTGCAGCGTGTAATTTACTGATGTTATCATTCTTAGATGTTTACTCGCAGACGTTTCCAACTCCCAAAGACAAATAAAGAATAGATTTATAAAGATACTGATAATAAAAGACAGTAATAATGAAAACTAAAGGAAAAAAATGAGGCACTCGATTTACATCAGAACCGACTTAAAATGCAGGCTGAACGGAATTCCATCATAAATTGGGGACTACCTGCACTCTAGATTATTTGTATAAGGTTATTTAATCCAGTGGTTCTCAATGGTGGCAATTTTGCCTCTCAGGGGACATTTGGCAATGCCTGGAGGCACTTTTAATTGTCATAACTTGGGTGTGTGGAGGGGTGCTACTGGCCTCCAGTTGTGGATTCAACAGTTTCTTTGGAATTCTATTAATTTGTGCTTTATATATTTTGAAGCTGTATAACTTGTGCATCATAGTTCTTATGACTTACTGGTGAATTTAAAAAAAAATGAAATATGTTTATTTATCCATGTTAATGCTTTTCATTTTGAATTCTATTTTATATGGCATTAATATTGTTAGATCTGTGGCTTACATTTGTCTGATATATTTTTTCTATCCTTTTATTTTCAGCCATCATTTGTCAAGTTGTTTCAGTTGCTCTCTTTTAATAGTACATAGCTGTTTATTGTTTATATGTCTCAAAGAAGTGCCTCGGTCCTTTAACAAGGGGTTTAACCCAGTTACATTTTTATGACTTCTGATTTGCTTGGACATATTTCTGGCATCTTATTTATTTTCTATTTATTATGTTTTCTGGTTGTTTTATTTTTCTCCCCATTCCTACTTTTAGTAGGACTGATTAAGTTTTCCCTGCTTTATCTTTTTTCCTTTACTGTTTTAAAACATACACATTCCTTTTCTTTTCTGGTGTGACTGCCCTTAAATGTTTAACACATATGCATAAATTTATACTTTTCTAGCAATGTATAGCATTAACCAGTCAGTATTCAAATCTTCTTCCCACCTCCATCCCTAAACAAAAAAGAACTTTAGCAAACTTGTGTTCTCCTCATTTATCTTCCCACTCTCCTCCCATATTGATATCATCTGCATTTTAATACTGGATTTTTAAAATTTTATAATTAACATATGTTTAGACTTAAAAATGTTTTACTAATTACTCTGGTCACCACTACCCTATATCTGTGTGTACTGACTATGAGTGAAAGAACAATCATATTTTTCATCAAGGATTGCCCTCAGGATATTTTCAGGAAGAATGGTGGGAGATGGAGATGTGCTATACCAGCACCTAACTTTCTGGGTGGTATGTTCTTTGTTCTTCATAGGCATCAAAAGCTACCCAAGGCATCGCTTGTCTCTCTAACCAAGTTCCCATAGTCACTGTTTCCACCTGTAAAGAATTTCCCAACTACTGATGCCTGGCCAAAGGCAGAGTCGCTATGGTGTGAACAGTTATCAACTAACCTAGCTCCTACTGAAGTAACTCAACCAATTACCCTAATAATTATCACAGGACCTCTACCTTCTGCAACAGCGTTCTCCTATGCATGTTCTGGGCTGCAATTTCCCTCTTTAATCCAATCCTGTTTTCCCACATCAGGGATTTCTCACAGTTTTTGGTTTACTGGGTGCAGAGCTTGCTAATTTAAAATATCTTTTCTATTATTTTTAGGGGTGAGATAGAAAGCTAAAGTATTTGCTTAGACTGCCATACTGAAAGTCCTTTACATTTTTTTAGACCCTGTAATTGTACTAATGGCTGATATATTTGACAACACCAAAAACAAACAACCTGTGTCCTAAGTGCAGTACAATCATTATTTCATCTAATGAAACCAAGTACAATGCTTATGAATATTTAATTTATACTATTAAAACAGAAATACATACCTGTGTATCATTTTCTTTTTGTCTGAAGTCAATATCGGGAAGTTTCACAGAACTTTCTTCTTTTTTATCTGGGTTATTAAATGGTACTATTTCAAATCAATTCCAGAGACAGAATCATATATAATAGTCAATATTTAACCTAACCTTGTAATTAAAAAAACCAAGTCTACATGATTTAATTTAAATTAAAATAGTATTTAAAATTAAATTAAATATTAAATTAAAATTATTAAGTAAATCTTTATGTGAACTCTGAATGTGAAATGAAAACCAGCTGACAAGATTACACCTTTATAACAGGGAACCAAAGACAGAGTGGTGATATTAACAACTGAAGAAAAAAAGACTCAGCCCAATAAATTTAGTTAATCTAATCTGCAGATTCATTGAATTAAATGTGATTCAAATATCTCAGTGACTAAGTTACAGATATCATTAACACAAGTCAGCTACCTACTCCAATCCCACATACTGATAATAATAATAATAATAAAAAAAAAACACTGTCATTGAGTCTATTCAGACTCACAGTGGCCCCATAGGGTTTCCAAGGCTGTAAATCTCTCCAGAAGTAGACTGCCACATCTTTCTCCCACAGAGCGGCTGGTGGTTTTGAACAGCCAATCTTGGGGTTAGCAGTCAATCACTTTAACCACTGAACCACCAGGGCTTCTTTAGACTGACAATACAACTCCTCAAATGAAAAATACACAATTATTCATCCTCCTTTGACAGTTGTGCAATCAGATCACGATACTTTTTTATAGTGTGTGATTTCTCTCTCAAAGAGAAAAAGGTATAGGAAGACATATCTTGCTTGCTCTCAGAAAGAATCCTGAGTCTATAGAACTCCAGTATTGTTTGTTCTTGTTTATTATACCAAATGATAACTAAAATTGCTTCTTTCCTATTTCTTCTCCTGTTAGCAAAGAAAATTAAGTTTTCCAATAATAAACAGATACTGTACCTGTAACTCGTAGTTCTGAAGAATGCATCTTTATTGGTCTGACTAATTTCTGAGATTCATAAGGAAGAAATAATTGTCTGTTCTGATGGTTTTTATCCAATACAAGTCCTTGTTCACCTTTTTCAAATATCCTAAAAAGAAGAGTGAATTTAAAAGACTTTTAAAAAATATCAAAAAATTCCAAACCAAAACTTTATCCATAAATAGCATGCTTTAGGTACCACAGTACTACAAACTTTAAAAAATTATTCACAAATCAACTAGCATGATTACAGAAATCATTAAAACAGTATTATGATCATAAATTAGTCTTTTAAGTTTTTTACTGGAAGAACAGTTTCATTGAGTTTTTCGTAAATTAAAAAAAGTAGAATAAACACTATCAAAATATATATTGAGCAAAAAATTACTAAATAGTTATATAAATTACCCTAAATACACAAAATGTTTATAATATTTTAAAAATGTCAGTAAGGTAAAATTCTATACATTGACCTATTTTTTCCATTCAATGTCATTATAAAATTAAAGACACATCACTATAGACGTGAGATGTGGGATTAAGGGAATCAAGAAAAATAACGGATCAGGGTAACTTAAGAAAGCAATGTATTGAAAAATCTGAATAAGGGCAACGGAGCCTAAGGAGAGGAATTTAAAAAGAATGAAAAAGGGTATCAACAGAAAGAGAAAAAGTAGAAAGTTTATCAGAAACAGCAATAGGGGTACATCTGTTTTTCTGTCACAGTAACAGGTAATATTAATCTTTTTTAATGCCTCGACCACCTCTTCTGCCACCACTGATGCCTATTTTATCACTATTAAGAGGAAAGGCAAGGAAACATATGAAGCCAGAGATTCTGTAGCATCCTTTGGCTTTGTGGCAAAGGAAAACTAATCAAACTGGTGATAGGATAATAAAAAGGTAAAATACTACTCCCACCCTTGTTTCTCCTGTTTTACTCCTATTACTGACCCATCATGGAAAACCCATCAATGTGCAACTGACAGGTTATGGAAAAGATATGCTACTGCTTTCCCATTTCTCTCTACTCATTATCCCTGGATTTACTAAATAAAAAGCAGTTCTAAGTATTAACTCATAATAATATTTAAAAGGTATACATTAAATTTTTCATAAGAAATGAGTATAAAATAGCCTGCACAGAAAATTATTTCTATACTGTATATATTAATGGCTTGGGATAGAATATAAAATCAAACTTTTAGACTTAAAATATCTGCTCACATAAAATCCAATTTTAAATATTACCTATACCCTTCTTTCAATTCCGTTCTCTTTTCTATAATGTTAGTCTTTTCTTCCAGAGTTTTGGAAAGATTCCTAGTTTCATAAAGTCTTGCAGCCTCCTAAAAAGAAAAATGACCAAAAATAAACCAAAATAATTATCTGCAAATTATTAAGGAACATGTGCTTTATCTTAACTAATAAAATTATTTTTCCACATATCAGAAGATTTATATTTTGATAGTATTTGCCATCTATTATTGAAAGCTGTCAAAAACGAGTCAAAATTGACAATAAATCAGATCTCGTTTTCCCTTACAACTCTATTAGCAAACTTAAATTTCAATTAACTTCTATCTTCTCTTTAAAAAAGAAAAATTAGAAGTAGACATTGATTTCTTACATAGACATACAGTTACCATATATTTTAAAGGAAATGGAACCTACTTTCTTTACAATACCAAAATAACATTGCTGTTATTTTGGTACCTCATATCTATTAATAGTAAACATACAATCTTTGACAGAATTTTTAAAAATTTAGAAAATTGGGTATTATATTTGTCTTTCTCACAATTTGGAAGTGACTTTGATGGGTTCTCATACTTGTGTGAATGAAAGCCACTACAATTCAATGAATGACACTAACAATGTATTCAAGAAAATATCACGCATCATCATTCTGAAGGCTAAGCTAGTTCTAGTGTAGCTCTATAAAATTTATAATCTAGTCATAAATTTATCAAGATTAAGTTCTTCAGACTATTTACTCTCTTTGCTCCTTTTTTTGTCAAGATTTTAACAGCTTTTTTTAAAACTGAATTTTAGATGAAGGTTTACAGAGCTAGCTTAAACAGTTAGTACATATATTGTTTTATGGCATTGGTTAACAACCCCATGACATGTCAGTACTCTCCCTTCTCAACCCTGGTTTCCCTATTACCAGTTTTCTTTCCTGTCCCCTCCTGCCTTCTAGTTCTTGCCCCTCAGCTGGTGTGCCCGTTTAGTCTTGTTTTGTCCTATGGGTCTGTCTAATCTTTGGCAAAAGGTGAACCTCCGGAGTGACTTCATTACTGGGTAAAAGGATGTCCGGGAGGCCATACTCTTGGGGTTTCTCCAGTCTCTGTCAGGCCAGTAAGTCTGGTGTTTTTCTGTGACTTAGAATTTTGTTCTACATTTTTTTCCTGCTCTGTCCGGGACCCACTATTGTGATCCCTGTCAGAGCAGTTAGTGGTGGTAGCCGGGCACCATCTAGTTGTACTGGACTCAGTCTGGTGGTGGCCATAGTAGTTGTGGTCTATTAGACCTCTGGACTAATCTCTCCCTTGCGTCTTTAGTTTTCTTCATTTTCCCTTGCTCCTGAAGAGGAGAGATGAGTGGAGTATCTTAGATGGATGCCCATAGGCTTTTAAGACCCCAGATGCTATTCACCAAAGTAATAGCTTTTTAATTTCTGTTATTAAGCTATATCTTCTTCTTTCGTCATCTTCTTTCTTCAACCTCCAATGAAAGTTAAAACTATTCCCCCAAACTGATGAAGTTTAACATATTCAGTAGCTAAAATACATTTTGGCTCCAAAGGTAATCTGAGGCAAATGAATTATTATAACTATTTTCCCTTTGACATACTCTCAGTTAAAAAAAAAAAATACACCTTTCCAGGATTAAACAATTTCACTAGTAATTTATAAATAAATCCAGTATTTTTACTCAACAGAATAATACTAGGCCCATATATCAAAATCAGTTCTTTGAAATGAACTACCTACAAACTGTCAGACGAATCCTGCTGATACTTTCTTAGTGATAACTTAAAAACATCTTTTATTTCACATATAGAAACTCAAACTGAATTTAAAACAAAATTGTAGAAACATATCACTGAGTTCTAAGAGAATCATTCTTTTAATATTGTTTTAACCATGTATCTAAATTGAACAGAAATTCCTTTTGAATTAACTTCAAAATTTTAAGCCTTATCTTAAGCATTTCTCCATGTTTAGGCTCTCTTGAAAACAGCTCTTCTAAGGCTACCACACCATTATACTTACACATTAATCATATTAATATATACTTTAGAAACATATAACAAAATATATACCCGGTTTAAGTAATTAATTTCCATTTCCATTTCATCTACTTCCGTCTTCAATTCAGATGAACTTTTGGTAAAATTATTGGCAAGTTTAAGAATTTCTTGTGTTTTACATCGCATATTAACCCTTTTATGTTAAGGAACCATGTCACGCAAGTAGGTTTTATAATATATGTACTACATCAGAAATAATACATAATATTATGCAACATCATGATAAATGGAGAAATACTAAAGTTGTCAAGGATTTCATTTTACTTGGATTCACAATCAACCCCTGCAGAAGCAGCAGTCAAGAAAGCAAACAATGTATTGCATTGGGCAAATCTGCTGCAAACGGCCTCTTTAAAGTGTTCAAAAGCAAACATGTCACTTTGAGGACTAAGGTGTGCCTGACCCAACCCATAGTATTTTCAATCACCTCATATGCATGCGAAAGCTGGACAATGAATAAGGAAGATCAAAGAAGAATTGATGTCTTTGAATTATGGTATTGGTGAATACTGAATATGCCATGGACTGCCAGAAGAATAAACAAATCTGTTTTAGAAGAAGTACAGCCAGAATTTTCCTTAGAAGCAAGGATAGTGAGACTTCGTCTCACATACTTTGGACATGTTATCAAGAATGACCAGTCCCTGGTGAAGGACATCATGCTTGGTAAAGGCGGAGATCAGCAAAAGAGAGGAAGACCCTCAACAAGATGGACTGACACAGTGGCTGCAACAATGGGCTCAAGCATAGCAATGATTGTGAGGGTGGTGCAGAACCAGGCAGTGTTTCATTTTGTTGTACATAAGGTCGCTGTGAGTCGGAACTGACTCGACAGCACCTAACAGCAACAGTATTTACATGTATGTTTCATATAAGCAATAAGTGATATTAATAATAGTATCTGGAAACAGAGGTAAGATTAATATAAACATTGGACAGACTCACAGATATAATTTACTGTTTATCTAGGTTACATATTGAGCTTAAAAATAAAATTTCATCCAAAATATTTGTTAGGATTTTTTTCTTTCAGTTAAATATGTTTACAGGGAGTTGTTGTTGTTGTTTGTTTTGTTTTTTTTTTTACCCAAGATGATCATGTTATTTAGTGTGACTGATAATATATAATCATGTCTAAACTTAACTCCTTATGTTTCCATTATTTATTGGTTCCAAAGTCAATATTAAAATTCATCCAATTTCTGTTTTCTTGCTTATAAGGTTCATCAGTGCACCCTGAAAAATTCAGAGGAAGACTAGATCTTCTATCTGGATTTTCTGCTTGACCTGGATTTATGCCTAATTTCAAGTAGAGAATTTCTCAGCTATTAACAGACGCACTGTGTGGTTTTGCTTAATACGATTTCCTAAACTACTCTACAATCCATTTAAGGGAATTAAAATAGGAATAGAATAGTGGCAGTGAACAAAAACTCCACAGAGAATTTGTCAGACCTTTCCTATCTGCCTTAAAAAATATGATTTATATGCTAGAACACAAAATTTCAGGTGAATATTCTTTATAATACTACGTTTTTATCAAAATTCTTGATTTAAATTTTAGATAAACCAAAAAACCCAAACCTGTTGCCATCGAGTCGATTCCGACTCATAGCAACCCTATAGGACAGAGTAGAACTGCTCCATAGGATTTACAAGGAGTGGCTGGTGGATTTGAACTACCAACCTTTTGGTTAGCAGCTGAGCTCTTAAGCAGATATGCATATTAAAATTCTAATTTTTCAATTCTTCTACCTCCATTCATCTCTTCTTGTTTGTCGTACAGCCACACATCTCATCCCATCTTACATCCCACTCCCTAAACCCCTGTAGTACCTTCTGCACCTAGCAAGCTCTGCCCCTCCCCACTGAGAAGTTAAGCACAGATGGGCAGGAAATGGACATCTCAGATTAGAATAGGGTAAAATCAAAACACAGAGTGAGCAAGTAGTAGAAGAGTTAAAAGGATGACTTAGGATGAAGCAGACAGGAAGCAAGGTACAATGCAAAGATAAAGAAGACAGTATAAACGGCAGAGTTAGAATCTGATAAGAAAGCATACGAAGGATTGTGGAGGTTAGAAGGGAGTTAAAGTTCCAAATTCATTATCAGGAAAGATTTCTCCAACAAAACAGTCAAGACTTAGATCAATTAAGAGTTACTTAAGCATCTATTACAGTGCCACTGTATTAGATTATTTCTTTATATGTCTGTCTCCCCTACTAAACTGTGAGCTCCTTGGAAGAAAGCTTTGTATTTGTTTTGGTACTACCTAGCACAAGGTAGTTTATACAGATGAATAAATAATTATGACTCACCTCCTTACCACCTTCCATCCTAGTAAGTAATAACCAATTGATTTAACTGGAACTCTTTCTTTGCTTAAGACAGAGCAAGATGACATTTTCATTAAGATACATCACTAAAAGCCAGATACATACACCATTTTATCCCCATAAAATTTCCTGCTTCTGATCACATGGACATATGTGAAAACTAGTTCCAGATGGCCTTTAAAGTAAACTCGAATTTTAATTAAACAAAAAACAAATTCATGTAATTCTTACCAAGGAAACACAATAAAAATTAAAATACTGAAATAATACTTATCTAATAAAAATTCTAGGTAGAAATACAATTGTGGATACAAGTGTAATGTCCATTTAGTAAGTGATGGAAAGGGAGCAGGCACTGAAAAACAAAACCATATTTCAGATTGATTTATTATATTCTTTTCATTATAAATATACCATTATTAAACAACATATAACAAAAATGTTAATACCTAGAAATTCCATAAAAATAGTTTCATTCATTTTTAGTTGTTCAGAGCATGCCAACACTCTGTTTTGAATTTCTTCATGTTCTGTTTTCTTCTCATAATATTCATGTGAAAAAGGTGTTTCTAAATACTTTAGTTGATATTGCTTCAAAACATCTTTATACTGGCATACATAGCCATGATACATTTTTCTGTTAAAAGAAAGAAATGATGTCTATACAGCAGAAGTATATGTAAAAACTATGCAAATATCACTTGTTAAAGTCTACTAAATTAAGTATAAAAGACAAGTCAAATATCTACTTACCCGTTTCCCTCAAATACTGTCTGCAATTCAAACTTTCTGTAACTCCATCACATTTCTCTACTTTTTTCCTCCACTATCTGAGTTATTCATTCCTTAATCCTCTCAATACAACTTCCACACCCACCATTCTAATAAAACTCCTTTTCCCAGCATGCTGAATGATCTAATTTACCCAATTCTATTATCTCTTTAGTGCTCATCCTAATTGACACTGCAGAATCTGGTTCTTTTAATCATTTACTTCTTTGTGAGCCTCTAACCTCCCTGGGTTCTGAGTCTCCATTTCCCCCACTTTGGCTATCTCTGTGACTGTGACTTTTTAATCTCCTTCAATTTTCTAAGCTAAAATTACCACATGAAGTCATGTTCTATGTGTTAGAGCTCTGGGTTCACAATCATTTATGTATACCTCAGAACTATTTTATGAAGCAAATTTCAGCACTGTTTGAAGGAACTCCTCCAGTCCATCTCAGGTAGAGGTGAGATGGTCATCTATTTAAGCACAAGTCTTGAATGGGACAGTTAATTTTATAAAAATATATTAAAACTTTCTTCTTATTTAACCTGTGCTTGATCAGCAACAGAGGTCAGTAAATTATTGCCCATAGGCCAAGTCCAGCCTGCCTCCTGCTTTTGTATAGCTTATGAACTAAGAATGGTTTTTACATTTTTAAATGATTGGAAAAAAAAATCAAAAGAAGAATAATATTTCAGGATACATTAAAATTATATAAAATTAAAATATCAGTGTCCATAAATAAAGTTTTATTGGAAAATAGTTCATTCATTTACGTATTGCTAAAACTGCTTTTGCACCACAATAACAGAGTTGAGTAGTTACAACAGAAACTCTATGGCTCATAAAGCCTAAAATATTTACTATCTCATCCTTTACAAAAAAAGTTTGCTTATCCTGATCTACAACATCAAAAATGTTCAATCTGTTTCTTTATAGAATATATATGTTTGAATCTTCTTTTTATTCAATTCTTATCAAATACTTAGTTTCAAGAAATGATATTCATAGAAAAATTTATGAAAAACATAAACTCCTTATGTTCCTCAAGATTTTCTAAATTTTATATCTTGGATCAAACCATTCTATATGGGAAAATTCTTAAAAGATACCTTAACGATTACCTCACCTTAGCAGAAGAAAAAAGAACAAGTGTTCATAAACTCTTATGTATAATGAGAAGTAAAATAAGGATAACAGCCTTATATTGGTCCGAATCTTAAGAATGTTTGCATTTCTTAATATTACTAAGCTCTGTTCCCTTTAGCAGGATAAAGAGTTGGGTCCAAAACTATTAAGCTCCTATTCCTCTAAATGCATATTTTCTAATTAAGCCCTCACTTCTAATATAACAGCTTGGGGAAATGGTTCAGGGAGGGGAGAAATATCTGTACAACTGAGCCTGGGTCACCAGTTTCAGATGAGATTAGCATACCACATCTATCCTGTCTGTATCGTATATTCACACTCCCTCCTCTAACATATTCCATATAGGAATTTTGGCAGAGGCCAGCATAGCCAAGTCATGGTTCAAAAAGAGTCACTACTATCACATTTGTTGCCAGCAATGCTAGTCTTAGTAAATGTCTGAAACAAGGATGGGAGAGTAAGAGAAATTAGCTGGTGCCTCTACTTCTTTCATTATCCATGACACCAACAAATGGACTCTTCCTTTTACAAATGCCTGGTGTTGAGTCATCAACTCAATCAGCCTATGTGGTTGGTTTAGGGAAGAATTAGATAGCTGTTTTCACTTTAATATCTCTGGCTAGCTCAAAGACATCAGCCATAACAAACACTATCAGAGAGGTGCCTACTTGGACTGGTTTGCTTTAGCCCCTCACAGAATCATTTCTAAGAATTAATGCTTTATAGCCATGGCTTGCATTGAGAGATATTATAAGAAGCAGTTTTAAATTTGTGTGTATGTGTATGTGTGTGTGTGTGTGTGTGTGTGTATGTAGTGGTTATTTTGAGGATTCTCAGGAGGCTACTGAAGATATTTACTATTACATTGTACAATTTCTCCTTTATGAGGATCTATGGGAGAAATTTCTCTCAAGCCTCAGTATCATAACAGGAAAAACTTCTGCTTATCATAAGCAATTAAAAGGAATACTCTGAATACCAAACTGATCACAATCCCTCAATACTTTTACTACTAGGAATTTCAAAGCCTAATTTGTGCCTATCTCTAGCAAATGTGTAGGACCATACAGTATAAATTTATCATTCTAACTTGACCAAAAATTTCATCTTTCTATGATATTGTTACTTTCTTGTAGCCTTGAATTTTATCTCTAGTTTTGTTAATACTATGGTATTCTATATACACACACATTGTCTCAAATCCTTTTTGGAATGAAGCAGGGTCTATAAATAACCAAGTAACAGTCTCCCCTCCGTCTATTTTTTGGATGATGGTGTACCAAGCTTTCTCCTCCTTTTGCTACATACATTCCTCTGGGCAATCCCATCAATTTCCATGATATAAAATGCCAAATAAGTCCAAATCTATGTCTTCAGTCCCTATCTTCTCTTAAGACCCATCTTTGAATATAAAGAGTATTACAGTCTAGATTTGTGTGTGTTTAATTAAAATATAAAAATAGATATGTTTTCGTCCAATTATGTCAAAAATAAAAGCATTTTAATTTTCTTAATTAGGTGACATTTTAGTGTTACATAATGCGTTCAAAGTCCCTCACTTTACTTTTTTCAGTATGTTCACTAATTGCATTCCACCATGTGTCTGTCAGTTTGTCGTACTGTGGTGGCTTGAGTGTTGCTGTGATACTGAAAGCTTCGCCACTGGTATTTCAAATACCAGCAGGGTCACCCTCGGTGGGCAGGTTTCAGCTGAGCTTCCAGATTAAAACAGACTAGGAGGAAAGACCTGTTCAGTGAAAGCCTTATGAATAGCAGTGGAACATTGTTTAACATAGTGCCAGAAGATGGCCCCTCAGGCTGAAAGGCACTCAGAATATTACTGGGGAAGAGCTGCCTCCTCAAAGTAGAGTCGACCTTAATGACATGGACGGAGTCAAGCTTTTGGGACATTCATTTGCTGATGTGGCATGACTCAAAATGAGGGAAAAAAGCTGCAAACATCCATTAATAATCAGAACATGGAATGTACGAAGAATGAATCTAGGAAAATTGGAAGACGTCAAAAATGAAATGGAATGCCTCAACATTGATATCCTAGGCATTAGTGAGTTGACATGGACTGGTATTGGCCATTCTGAATCAGACAATCATATGGTCTATTATGCTGGAAATGACAAATTGAAGAGGAATGGCGTTGCATTCATCGTCAAAAAGAACATTTCAAGATCTATCCTGAAGTACAACACTGTCAGTGATAGGATAATATCCATACATCTACAAGAGCAGTGAATATGACTATTATTCAAATTTATGCACCAACCACTAAGGTCAAAGATGAAGACACTGAAGATTTTTACCAATTTCTGCAGCCTGAAATTGATCAAACACATAATTAAAATGCATTGAAAATTACTGGCGACTGGAATGCAAAAGTTGGAAACAAAGAAGGATGGGTAGTTGGAAAATATGGCCTTGGTGATAAAATGATGCCAGAGATCGCATGACAGAATTTTGCAAGACTAACATCTTCTTCATTGCAAATACGTCTTTTCAACAACATAAGCGGTGACTATACACGTGGACCTCACCAGATGGAATACACAGGAGTCAAATCAACTACATCTGTAAAAAGAGATAATGGAAAAGCTCAATATCATCAGCCAGAACAAGGCCAGGGGCCAACTGTGGAACAGACCATCAACTGTTCATATGCAAGTTCAAGCTGAAGCTGAAGAAAATTAGAACAAGTCCATGAGAGTCAAAGTATGACCTTGAGTATATCCCACCTGAATTTAGAGACCATCTTAAGAACAGATTTGATGCATTGAACACTAATGACCGAAGACCAGACAGGTTGTGGAATGACATTAAGGACATCATACAGGAAGAAAGCAAGAGGTCATTAAAAAGACAAGAAAAAAAGAAAAGACCAAAATGGATGTCAGAAGAGACTCTGAAACTTGCTTTTGAACAGAGAGCAGCTAAAGCAAAAGGAAGAAATGATGACGCAAAAAAGCTGAACAGAAGATTTCAAAGGGTGGCTCGAGAAAACAAAGTAATTATAATGAAATGTGCAAAGACCTGGAGACAGAAACCAAAAGAGAAGAACACGCTCAGCATTTCTCAAGCTGAAAGAACTGAAGAAAAAATTCAAGTCTTGAGTTGCAATATTGAGTGATTCTACAGGTAAAATATTAAATGATGAAGGAAGCATCAAAAGCAGATGGAAGAATACACAGAGACAATGTACCAAAAAGAACTGGTCGACTTTCAACTATTTCAGGAGGTAGCATATGATGAAGAACTGATGGTACTGAACAAAGAGGTCCAAGCTGCACTGAAGGCACTGGCAAAAAACAAGGCTCCAGGAATTGACAGAATACCAATTGAGATATTTCAACAAATGGATGCCGCGCTGGAAGTGCTCACTCATCTATGCTAAGAAATCTGCAAGACAGCTACTTGGCCAACCAACTAGAAGAGATCTGTATTTATGCCTATTCCCAAGAAAGGCGATCCAATCAAATGCTGAAATTATCGAACAATACCATTAATATCACACGAAAGTAAAATTTTGCGAAGATCATCCAAAAGCAGCTGCAGCTGTTTATCAACAGGGAACTGCCAGAAATTCAAGCTGGATTCAGAAGAGTACATGGAACCAGGGATATCATTGCTGATGTTAGATGGATCGTGGCTGAAAGCAGAGAATACAAGAAAGATGTTTACCTGTGTTTTAATGACTATGCAAAGGCATTTGACTGTGTGGATCATAACAAATTATGGATAACATTGTGAAGAATGGGAATTCCAGAACACTAAATTGTGCTCATGAGGAACCTGTACTTAGACCAGGAGGCAGTCGTTCGAACAGAAGAAAGGGATACTGCGTGGTTTAAACTCAAGAAAGGTGTGCCTCAAGGTTGTATCCTTTCACCACACTTATTCAATCTGTATGCTGAGCAAATAATCTGAGAAGCTGGACTATATGAAGAAGAACACGGCATCAGGATTGGAAGAAGACTCATTAACAGCCTGCAATATTCAGATGATACAACCTTGCTTGCCGCAAAAGAGCTTTTTAAAGTGTTAAAAAGCAAAGATGTCACTTTAAGGACTAAGGCGCTCCTGACCCAAGCCATGGTGTTTTCAGTTGCTTCATGGCCACGTGAAAGCTGGACAATGAATAAGGAAGACTGAAGAAGATTTGACTCCTTTGAATTATGGTGTTGGCGAAGAATATTGAATATACCATGGACTGCTAGAAGAACAAACAAATCTGTCTTGAAAGAAGTACAGCCAGAATGCTCCTTGGAAGCAAGGATAGTGAGATTTTGTCCTACATATTTTGGATGTGTTATCAGGAGGGACTAGTCCCTGGAGAAGGACATCATGCTTGGTAAAGTACAAGGTCAGCAAAAAAGGAAAACCCTCAATGAAATAGACTGACACAGTGGCTGCAACAATGGGCTCAAGCAGAACAATTGTGAGGATGGCGCACGACTGGGCAGTGTTTTGTTATGTTGTACACAGGGAGGCTATGTGTTGGAACCGACTCAATGGCACCTAATAACAACAATTACATTTAGTCTCCAAGACTATGTGATTATGCACGTAATAAAATAAACCCACATAACTATCAGTGCTTCTCCATTAAACATAACCACCCCAATCAATCAGCAAAGTCTCAAAAACAGAAGTTTCATATAAAATAACCTTCAAAAGTCAATACTCAAAATTTGTCATAAACTATTTCTAGAGATTCCTCAGTGTTTGCCTATAACAGTTCAATCATGAAGACCATTACTTGAAGCACTTTGTTATAACTGTTACTGATAAATAGTTTCATATCTAAAGACACACCTAAACATAGCCAGGGGTAGAAAGAGCTTCACAACAAGTAAGTAGACCTCCAATGGCACCCAAATAACCCAAAATATTTCACATACTTAAAAAAATTTTTTCAGTTCTTCCTTAGCATGTGTTTGTACATTTTTCAGTTAACATTCTTACAAAGCATAAGGTCCTATTAATACTTATAGAATTTAAAAGCTTAATGTATATACTGTACTTGTCTTTTTCAACAGTTTCTTGATAAATTGTTAATTGATTCTGCATATAATCTTCATGTTTATGGAAAACACCACATGTTGGCTTCCAGCTATGGAAAAAAAGTATATGTGTAATTAGTATTTCAGAATGAGAAATAAATTGACAGAGATAATAAAAAGAAGAATGTAATAATTTAAAGATAATGGAATCATTCTCTTCCTGGAGAAAACAAGCTTACATCAAGAAAAATATTCTCATCTCCCATAAACCACCACTACCACAATTCATGAACTTATACATATGCTCAAATATCCATTAATTTTTACATAAAACCTATTTTGGAACCACGACTCGGGAAGGATCAGATGTGGCATGGCATTTTTACCACACACTCTGCAACACTTCAACATCAGCATTTCTTTTTTATCATATTTCTAAGATCTTGGCCAAGAAAGTCTTTTGGAGTAAGCACTCAAAGAGCTGGGATAGGGCTAAAGAGAGGATTTTTTTCACCTTTGAAACTTAGAAAAGCATGCTGCTACACCTTCCTGAGCTAGAAATGAAGAGACCAGGCTAATATGAACTTTAAAATTAGGTAATAAGAATAAAATTAATATCCATCTTATACACTGTTTTACTCCCTGACTTGAAAAAATATTATCAATATAAAAAATCTAAAATTAGCACACTCCATGTCAGCTTACACTCTAATTACTGCTCAAAAATTTCCTCTAGCTCTTTTTTCTTTTTTTTTTCCTAGATTCAAAAAGTATGCCCACTATGGAAACACAGAAACGTATATAGAGGAAAAAAAAGATCATCCATATTCTCAACATTGAATAATAACCACTATGATTAATAAATTGTGTCCAGATTTTATTATAAATACATATTTTAACATTGTTGAGATCATACTCACATATAATAATGTATCCTCCTTTATTACTTACTTTTAACTTGTATACGTTTTCCTTGTCATTAAGAATTCATTGTAAAGATTTTAATTATACATAATATTCCATAATTTATGTAATCATTCCCATACTGTTGGCCATTTGTGCTTAATCTAGTTTTCCCTATCATAAACAGAACTTGTACTTAAATATTTGTGTGGATTTCTGTTCATTTCCTTAGAAAATACCCCCCAAAATCGAATCACAAGGTCAAAGATTATATGTATACACATTCTGAATATTTTAGAAATTCAATAAGAAATATATATTCACTGAGAAGATATTCACTGTAAGCATTTTCATATATATCCTTCTAGTCTTTTTCTAATTATACATAAATATACAAATACTAAATTGGGTTTGTATTATGAATATTCTTTTATAACCTGCTTTGTTCAATTTGTAATATACTATTAACAATTTTCTGTCAATAAATATCTATATCATAATTTTTATTGGTTACCCAGTGTTCATTTATATGGATATGCCAAAATTCATTTAATTAATTCTCTAATGTTGGATATTAGAGTTGTTCCCAATGTTCTGTTATTTAAAAAAAAAGTTGAGACAAACACCTTGATGTAATGTTGTACATTGCATCTTTGAGAGAATGCCTAATTATTTCCTGATGAAAAAATTCTCAGAAATGGAATCACTTAATCAAAAGTTATGTTTATTTTTTAAGTTTATAAAAATATATACTGAAATGTCATCCAAACAGTTTATACCAGTGTACATTCCTACCGTGTATGCAAGAGCTGATTTTCTTATTCCTTGGCCAACACTAGGTGTTATTTTCCTTAAATCTCTGCAAAACTTAGAGGCAGATAATAATAATAAAAATATTTCATTGTTGCTTTAATTTAGATCTTTGATTATTAGTAATACTGAGCATTTGTATACATGTTTATTAAAAAAAAAAAAATCAATTGCAACTCATAGTGATCCTATAAGACAGAGTGGAACTGCCCCATAGAGTTCCAAGGAGCTCCTGGTGGATTCGAACTGCCGTTCTTTTGGTTAGCAGCCGTAGCTCTTAACCACTACGCCACCAAGGTTTCCACATGTTTATTAGACTTACGCATTTCTCATTTTGTTATTTACCTATTTAGTTTTTTAATCTATTTTTCTAATGGGGCTTTTATCTTTTTCTTATTTTCCACTAGTACTTTATATTTTTAAAACATTAATCTTTATTTGATATTTTTCCTAGTTTATCAACTTGTCTTTTATAGTCATTATGGGGTGTTTTTCTGTTTAATTTGTATGTAGTCTTATTTATCCATCTTTCCCTCTGTGGTTTCTGTCTTTGGTGACATACTTAGAAAGGCCTTCTTCTCCCCAAGAAGTCACCTATATATTTTCTTCTGGTACTTTCATGGGTTTGTATCTTAATTTAAATCTCTTAACCAGCATGCTGAAAACATACACTAGAAGTATTTATAAAGTTGAATATATTAAAATCAATGGATCCTATTAACTCCCCTCAGAACTGAGCAGAGATTAAGCTTGTCTAAACCGTATCTAGGAGAAACGGTACGTTCTAAGGAGAACTATCAGTACTTTTCTAGCACCCATTGCAATCAGCTGAGGAAAACCACTGGCAAAGCCCACTGCCACAAAACCTAAATCAAAACAATGAGAAAAAATTCGAACAATATATAATTTTTGCCTATCATATTGCCAAAAAATTAAAAGATTTATAATTCCAGTGTGGAACACTTGCATCAGCAGGGCAGATGAGGGAGGAGAGGCCTGAGGAGCCAAGGGGCCAACGAACCAGGAAGCAGATGCTGAAGAGATAAGGAACACAGGAAGCAGAGCTGCCTCAGTCTCAAAAGGTAAGGCCAGGACCTCTGGGGTTTCAAAGGGTAGAGCCATGGCCTCTGCTGTTTCTAAGGGTGGAGTTGTCACTCTGATGGAGTAGGAGAGTGGTGAGCCTAAAGTCAAGGGAGCAGAGTTGCTGTCCCAGTGGGCCTGGAAGGCAGAGCTGAAGCCCAGGGCCAAGGGGCCTCCACTCAGAATCCAGAGAGTATGGCCAATACCTAGAGTCTGGAGGGCAAGGCTATTGTGTAAATGGTCTCAGAGAACACAGGCTTATTTGCAAAGCCTTGAGGGCTAATGTAATGTGTTCTGCTGACTTGCTTGGTGCCTGTTATGCTTTCTTTCCCTCCAGTTTCTCCCATTTGTAATGGAAATGTCTAGCTTGTGCCTGTTTGGCCATTGTACTTTGGAAGCAGATAACTTGTATTCTAGATTTCACAGATAAAGAGGAATTTCTGGATTTTGGACTTGGAGTTGACTTAAGACTTTTGCGATGATATAATGGGGTGAATATGTCTTACATGTAGCAAGGACATGAATTTTGGGGGGTCAAAGGGTAGAATGTCATGGATTGAATTTTGTCCCCCCAAAATATGTGTCAACTTGGTTAGGCCATGATTCCCAGTATTGTGTGGTTGTCCTCCATTTTGTGATTGTAATTTTATGTTAAAGAGGATTACAGTGGGATTGTAACACCATTACTAAGGTCATATCCCTGATCCAATGTAAAGGGAATTTCCCTGGAGTGTGGCCTGCACCACCTTTTAACTCGCAAGAGATAAAAGGAAAGGGAAGCAAGCAGAGAGCAGGGACCTCAAACTACCAAGAAAGCAGCCCCGGGAGCAGAGTGCATCCTTTGGACCTGAGGTTCCTGCGCTGAGATGCTCCCAGACCAGGGGAAGATTGATGAGGAGGACATTCCTCCAGAGCTGATAGAGAGAGAAGTCTTCCCCTAGGGCTGATGCCCTGAATTTGGACTTCTAGCCTATTGCAAACAAACAAACAAAACCCATTGCCATGGAGTTGATTCCAACCCATTGCCAGACTGTGAGAAAATAGATTTTTCTTTGTTAAAGCCATCCACTTGTGGTATTTCTGTGATAGCAGCACTAGATAACTAAGACACCAGCAGAGATTAAGCTTGTGTAAAGCATATCTAGGACAAAGGGTAGGTTCTAAGGGGAAACTATCTACTTTTCTAGCACCCATTGCAATCAGTTGAGGGAAACCACTGGCAAAACCCACTACAACAAAACTTAAATCAAAACAATGAGAAAAAATTCAAACAATATATAATTTTTGCCTATCATATTGCCAAAAAATTAAAAGATTTATAATTCCAGTGTTGGCAAGGGTCTGAGAAAGTAGAAATTCACATACATTGTTGGTGCATGTACACTGGTATAAGTAGGTATAACCTTTTTGGAGAACAGTTTGGCATCATTTGTGTCAATGTTTAAATATGCATACTCTTTCATCTAGTAATTTCACTTCTAGGAGTCTATTCTACAGCAGTAAGTGTATAAATGTGAGCAGTAATATTTCCACATCAATTGGGGAATGGTTAAATAACTTAGAATACATCAATACTATAAAATACTACAAAAAAAAAAAAAACAACCCATTGTCATTGAGGTGATTCCGACTCATAGTGACCCTATAGGACAGAGTAGAACTGCCCCATAAGGTTTCCAAGGAGTGGCTAGTGGATTTGAACTACCAACCTTTTGGTTAGCAGCCAAACGCTTAACCACTGCACCACCAGGACTGTTAAAAAGAATTAAATCTACGCATAATTACATGCACACTACAATTTTACTGTTAAGTTTAAAAAGCAAGTTGTAGAATAGTATAGTATGATCTCATTTTTGTAAAAAGAAAGATAGATAGATATGTATACGTGTATATGTAATAATGATGTTACGTGTTTAACTACTAAGCATGATTACCTATGAGGAGGAAGACAGGGCAGCAGGAAGTAAAAAACTTTTACCCCATACAATTGTATATAGTTTGTCTTTTTATACTAGATATATGATACTTTTATAATTTTTTTAAACCAGTTTAAAAAACAATGACAGGAAAAAGCCAATAGGCTTATGAAAATTTTGAATAACAATGTTTTTAAACAAACATGATTCTATATAGTATACTACTTAATATACAATGATCCACATAAAATTAAGTTCAGAAAACCAATACATTTTATTTTTATAAGTATTTGTAATATATAGTAAAATTCTCTTCACAATAAACCCTTTTTATCTTTTTTTTAATTGTGGAGAATATATACGTAAAAAAAATTTGTCATTTCAACATTTTTCACGTTATTCACAATACGTCTTTGTCTCTAAATGTTTGTCTTGTAACAGATTTAACTACTTGAAACCATGTTGAAAGAATCTCTAACATATTGAATACTTTTATTTTGAAAAACTACTAATTTCAGGGTGAATTCCCTTACACAAAAATAAAAACCTAAATATTCAAAGATGGAAATTATTTTAAATTTATTTATCTAATAAGAATTTTATATACTGAGCCTAGATTATTCAAAATTCTATATTTAGGTTAATTGTATCTGAATTAGTGGGATCTTAAATTCCTTGCTCTATTTTCCTTTTGAACTGCCTATAATTCTTTCCTACAGTGGCATGTAACCAGGCAATTTAAGATTTGATCCATCATTTTGCTAGTATAGAACACTTCGTCAATTTTTTCAACTATAAACTCAGAAACCTTGAACAGAAGAATCTTGTGACAATTATTGAAAGTTCACTTCTTTCAAATACTCACTTATTACAGTTGTCTTTGATCTCCTTACTATGTTTACAGTAATAACCAATTTCTTCATCTGTTGCATTTATAGTTTCATGTATCTTACGAATAGTTTTTTTGTTTTCTTTAATATCTTCAAAGCATTCTGGAAACAGGTAATATTTACTTTCTTAAGACAGAAATCATAAATTCAAAATAAACAAACACAGTAGGAAAAAGGAGAAAGGCAAGTTACCTAAAAGGAGCAGAGTCAGAGAATGGAAAGTGCCAAATACTAAAAAGCAGCGAACCAGAACCAGGCTTCAGTCTAGACCCAGAAGCTAAGGAGTTGTATTTGAGACTGAAGAGAAATAAATTTACCCTGCCCCTCTTCTCTAATGTAAAAGGGCTAGATTAGGTGATATCTAAGGTCAATCGCATCCTATGCTGTTATGAGATCATGTAAACAATATTTATTCATGATACTAATAAAATGCTTTTGTTTTTGACAAATGCTAAGTTTCTATTTATCAATTCCATGTCAAGTAATTACTAAATGCATCTTCAACTCACTTATTTACCGGTGAGTCAACTCATGAGAAAAATAAAATCATGTAATTTCCTGACAAGACTAGAATAAATTCTTAATATTCTGTATTTTTTGATCACAAAAAAGATAACCAAATTCTACCTTTTCAGAACTATTAAGAAATTCAAAGTTCTACTTTTATTTTGACAGTTTTTATGTAGAATCCTAAACATGCTATATTCATGTAATTTGCCTTGCCATTTCGTTCATATTATTTTTCAGAATTATTATTCCTGGAAATGTGGAATCCATCAATCTTCATCCCTGATTTTTGGTGATTTTTATAAAGATAAAAAAATCTTTACTCAAATATTTGAAATAACTGTATTATGCAAGCAAAATTATACCTTTTCAACTGCACATAAGGGATCATTTCTGCTTAAAGGAAAATTCTCCAACACAAAATAATTAAATGCTGAATACAGAAACTTATTATCAAAAATTATAATTAAATCACACCTATTTTGCCTTGGGTAAATGACTCATTATTAATCATTAGACAGAACTGGAACAAAAGTTAAAATGCCAACAAGTTGCACCAAACAGGGCAATTGTATATTATATGCCATAAAAAATTAAAAGACTAAAATATCTTCTGATCTACTTACTATTAATTCGTTGAACTAGATCTTCTTTAGTTCTTATGTCTTGATCATACTGGAAAACTATAAGAAATAATTCTTTTGTGACTTCATATCATTATTAAAATGTCAAATGATAATACAAATAGCTACCCATTTCTTTATTTTCATTTTATACCTACCAAATTCTAGCAAAAGTCTGTCCAAACTGACAAATAGGCTGTCATTCATCTTGGCTACTATGTTCAAAAAAAAAAAAAGACATTCATAAGGAACGATTTTCTGAAAAGTCATATTTGAGGTAACAAAACTCTTCACAAAAACATGTGGGTGGAGCGGGAACTTGGGAGGGGAGAGCCCATTTCAACCACCAACTACATTCCTAGTCTAGCACAGGAAAACCAAAAAAAGCAAACCTCTTGCCCACGAGTCAGTTCCGATTCATAGTGACCCAATGGGACAGAAGTGAACTGCCCCATAGGGTTTCCAAGGAGCCACTAGTGGATTCAAACTGCCGACTGTTTGGTTAGCAGCCCAGCTCTTAACCACTGCACCACTAGGGCTCTGTAGCGCCAAAAAAAAAAAAGTTGCTATGGCTAGACTGACTTATGGTGACCCCATGCCTGTCATGGGTACAGCTGTGCTCCGTAGGGTTTTCAACGGCTGATTTTTCCAAAGTAGACCACCAGGCCTTTCCTCCTTGGCACCTCAGTGTGTTCTCAAACCTCCAACCTTTCTGTTAGTAGCCCAGCACATTCACTGGTTGCACCGCCCAGGGACTGCACCTAGATCTGTTGTTGTGTGCCATGGAGTCAATTCCAAGCGACCCTATAGGACAGAGTAGAATTGTCTGTAGGGTTTCCTAGGCTGTAATCTTCACAGGAAGCAGATCGCCAGGTGGAGCGGCTGGTGGGTTCCAACCACTAACTTGACCTTTCCGTTAGCAGCTGAGCCCTTTACCCTTGCGCCACCAGGGCTCCTTGAACATGGATCCAGTAGGCACTTAATACTGGTTGACTATCATCGCTTTATTGAAACTTCTGGGTGAGGCAGGGAAGGCCTTCATAATTGTTTATAGCAGTACTGCAATAAATCTTTAATTCTCCCAGGGCCCAGAGATACCCAGGTTTCTCACAAGTATACTCCCTTTAAAATAAGTAATATCTCTGAAGATTTCCCTTTCCAGAAAGTCGTTTACTCACTCAATAGCGAGGTGAAACCTGGAGAAACAATGCAATCTTACATTTACGAAATTACCACCAAGAATCCAAAAAGTGGACGTTTTCTCAGGACTGCCAACTCCAATTACAAAATCCGCACGAAGCGGGGCCGAATCACTTGTTACCCACAGATTTTGAGCGCTATGCTTTCTGCGCGTTTTCAGGGGGGAACGTCGCTCACCGACTAACTCTCTCACAGCCTGGTTGCTCCCCTCACCCGGGACCGCTCCTCACGCGCGCGGCTCGCCTCAGCCGGCGACGCTCTAGCCACGCGGCGGCGCCCACAGTTCCGCGCTGCACTGTGCGTCGCGGCGCCAGGACCACCGGACGAAGAGACGTGCTCGGCGGTCGCTAGAACGCCACCGCATTTGTTCTCCGGCCGCAGGGCCCGCGAGCCACACCTTCAGGGCCGCCTGCCCAGGAAACAGCCGCCACACACACTCCCTTTTCGCCCATCTCAGCGGCCCCTGTGAGACATCGAAGTCTGTGCTCTTCCGAATCCCAGGCTTTACTCAGGGTCCGAAGAGCGAGGTCTGCGACCGCAGATCTTCTCGCGGAGGAGTTGGAGCCCAGCCCGGTCGCTCCCAGCCGAGAGCCTTCTCCTCCCCCGGCGCCAGCCCTGCCCTACCCGGCGGAATACGCGGCCGGAGCAGTACATCGCGCTGAAAGGCTTCGGACTGTGGCAATCACTCCTTTGTCCCTGGGCGAAGCACGAATAAAGCGCCTTAAAACTACAAATGTGGGTGCTATGAGGTAGGGGGTCTTCCAGGGACTCTCCCGTGGCCTTGAAAACAAGAGTGTTTTAAGACTATTCATTCTTGTTGTAACATAACATTGCACTTTGGAAAATATTTTGGAAAACAGCAATAAAATTGATATTAACTTTATCATGACAGTAAAAAATAATCTGAAATTGAGAATCAAAATTCAATTTTGATTTCAGCATTTTTCAAAACTTCTTGAAAAGGAAGCGTAAGAATTCAAATAACATTTTGATTCAACATTTTGACACTGACTCATTTGTTTAGTTTCCAATGAAATGCACATTAACATTTTTGGCCCAAAATGCTGTCTTTCGATAATTTATACTCAGACGCTGTCTGCATATCCAAAGTGAAACAAAAAGGGGAGAAATAATTTAAATCAGTGCCCCAAATTGCCTCAAATGTTGATATGTTTCTGATAAAAATGTTTTTAATCCTAAACAATCTTAAAAAATTGCCTTAATTCACCAGGACTTAAATTTTTTCACTATTAGTGAAAAAGAAACTTTAAGAAGTATTTGAGAAGTATTGCTTCAGTACTTCAGATCAGAAATGCATAAAGTTTTATTCTAATGTTGCTCACTAGCTATATTAACGATAGTGAGCCATCGAAGTTAATGTAAGTTTTGATAATGTAAAAGGTTAGCAAATTTATTCTTATACTTGTTCACATATATTTATTAACTACCTCTTTTTAGGAAGGCATGAGAAATGAATATAAAGTTATTTAGTCTTGCTGGCACTACATTGATATAACTGTCCAGAAAATCTAATAGGTTAAAAGAGTTGATCCGCAGCAACTTAACACTAGTTTTTCTTATGAAGATTTGTAGAAATTTAGAAATGCCACCTTACTGAGACCTGAAAATCAATCTATTTGCATTTAATGTCAGATCTATGTATCTCCTAATTACTCTCACAAAAATATACCCTAGTTCTATCACCACTAGCACAACCACCTATCCCATTCCAAAAATCTCTGGAAAAGCAATGAAGATGCTCCATCTACTGGAGAGTTTTAAGTAAAAATTTTAGCCTCTTACATTCTACCCCCCACCCTATGAAATACAGTGCTGCATTTGAAAAATTATAGGACTTTGACTCAGATTATCATTTATTCTAACAAATCATTCTCTGGGAAAGTTCTCTCATGAAACAAAATTTTCTCCCTACCCATTATCAGCCCCTTCCCCTCTTGCTTCATATATGCAAAAAAAGAATCTAAAGAAATCCTTTATAGAAATCTGCTAACCATTCTAAATGCATTGTATTCCTTTCTTTGATTGCTAAATTTAACAAAAGGCGTGGGACTCCTACCTACAATTCCTCTCCAGTCCTTTCTTCATTGACCTTTTCAACTCAATCACTAACCCATCATATTTAACTGCTTTCTCGAAGATTATCAATAAAACATTTTTACTCCAAACCTAATGGTCTTTTCTCAGTCTTATCCCTGCCCTTTTTTTCCAACTCTCTTTCTTATTTGGCCCCATTAAAACTCTCTGCATGCCTGACTTCCAAGATATTACTCTCTTCCAGTTCTCCCACTTCTCCTATCTGCCCTCTAATCTCAGCTTCTACTTCTTTTCCCCTTACCACCACACCCCAACTACATACTCTTATCAAGGCTTTTTCTTTAACTCTGCTCATCTGTACACCCTTTTCTTTGGGTTACTCATCCAAAATGGCGTCAGTTACCACTTCTATGCTGTGACTCCCAAATCCATATTTCCACCCTTATCCTGTTATCTGAGAGTTATCTCCAGTATATTCAAATATATACCAAATATTTACATTTACATACTTCACTTTTCCACCAATTTAAGTTCAACCTGATACAAATCCAAAGGCTTCTGTTCCTCTTCCTCTCACATACCTATCTCTGTGACACAGTAATTCTCTCAAAATCAAAACATGAAGACTTGGTATCTTATATGACTCATTACTCCACTTCATCTATCATGAATAATTACTCACAAAATATAGTTGATTTTTAAAAAATATCCCTTCTATGCATCTAATCAACTCTGTAAACAGTTGATGTAGTCAGAGACATATGGATTCAAATTCTGGTTCTATCACTTTTTACCAGCACTCCTCTGTCAGTTTGTTGTACTGTGATAGCTTGCGTGTTGCTGTGATGCTGGAAGCTATGCTACCGGTATTTCAAATACCAGCAAGGTCACTGTCTTAGTTATCTAGTGCTGCTATAACAGAAACACCGTAAGTGGATGGCTTTAATGAACAAAAATTTATTCTTTCACAGTCCAGGCAGCTAGAAGTCCGAATTCAGGGCACCAAATCCTGGGAAAGGCTTTCTCTCTCTTTGGGTTCTGGGGGAAGGTCTTTGTCATCAATCTTCCCCTGGTCTCGGAACTTCTCAGCGCAGGGACCCTGGGGCCAAAGGACACACTCTGCTCCCGATGCTCCTTTCTTGATGATACGAGATAATCTACCCTCTCTTCTCCCTTCTCTCTTTTATATCTCAAAAGAGATTGACTCAAGATACAACCCAATCCTATAGATTAAGTCTTGCCTCATTAACATAACTGACTCTAATCCAGCCTCATTAACATCGTTGTTGTTGTTAGGTGACCTTGAGCAGATTTCGACTCATAGTGACCCTATGTACAAGAGAACGAAACACTGCCTGGCCCTGTGCCATTCTCACAACCTTTGTTATGCTTGCGCCCACTGTTGCAGCCACTGTGTCAATCCATCTCGTTGAGGGTCTTCCTCTTTTTCACTGACCTTCTACTTTACCAGGCATGATGTCCTTCTCCAGGGATTGATCCCTCCTGACAACATGTCCAAAAGTATGTGAGACATAGTCTCGCCATCCTTGCTTCCAAGGAACATTCTTGTTTCACTTCTTCCAAGACAGATCTGTTCGCTGTTTTGGCAGTCCATGGTATATTCAATATTCTTCACCATCACCACAATTCAAAGGCATCAGTTCTTCTTCGGTCTTCTTTATTCATCGTCCAACTTTCACAGGCATATGAGGTGACTGAAAACACCATGGCTTGGGTCAGGCGCACCTTAGTCTTCAAGGTGATATCTTTGCTTTTCAACACTTTAAAGAGATCTTTTGCAGCAGATTTGCCCAATGCAATGCGTCCTTTGATTCCCTAACTTCTGCTTCCATGAGTGTTCATTGTGGATCCAAGTAAAATGAAATCCTTGACAACTTCCATCTTTTCTCCATTTATCATGATATTGCTTATTGGTCCAGCTGTGAAGATTT